CAGGTTGCAGCGACGTTTTAATTCATTCATTTTAATAGATAATATATGTTTAGTTTATTTTACAGTTTCGATATGAACGGTATAGTGTTTAATTTCGCAGCTGCATATTATATTATATATTATCTGAGCCCCTCTTGCATTAGTCTTTTTTATTTGCTGTTTCCATTCGGCAGTAGAAGCTGACACGCTGCCTGTCCGTCTGCTGCTCCGTTAAATTCATTTGGTTTTCTTCACACAAAGACTCCCAGAAAAGAAGCAGCACCTTCAGATTAATAGTCACCACACGGAGGAACAGGCCTCCGCACCACTTCGTTTTTTTATCTCTGTCCGTTACTTTGCATGACAATAACCAGGGGACCGGACCTCGATTTATTTTTCAAACTGCACAAAGGAGCTAAACTGCATTTCTCTTCTCCGTCGTTGTCCCTGCAGCCTTTTCACTTCGGTAATATTTCATAGCATTGACAAGTCCGGTCGCTGCAAATAATGAGGCCGTTTAACCCTTCAATATGTTCATTTTCATTTTCTGACTGTGCCTTTATATCAGATAAGGCCTGCTGTTTGGAAAATAAAAAACTCTGGCTTTTTACTGGAATGTTTCAGATAGCCATTTCGAAAAAGAATAGATATGGAATCTAAATTTATGCTGAGATTTTATTAGAATAATATTTTAAACAGAGCAGTAGAGCAGTTTTTTTTTACCATGAACTATTTTCAACTTCTTATATATTTAGCCCGTCACAGTGGAAGAACGCCAGGCTGTAGAAACGTGAGCTCTTACCTTGACACTCAGTAAAACGAGTCCTCTTCAGCACAGTTTAATCCCAGTGTGTGGTGAAAACACAACCAGAGAGCTCAGGTTGTTTTTTTTCTCTGTGCCAACAACAAATGAGTCTGTGCGAGGATGCAACAACACGGTTAGAGGGAAAATAACTTATTCACATTCCTGCTTCTCTTCCGCTGCGCTTTTTTTTATTGCGTTTGATTTGACACCCTCCTCCCTAAACAAACTGACAAACAAACAAGACAACATTTCCATCTGTGTTTGACGGAAGTGACCGGCAGTAAAAGTCACATGTGTAAATCCAGAGGCGCTGACCTTTTCCTCTCACTGTATCCGGATGTTATGTCATCGCTCTTTAGCAGTCTTCAGATGGTGTTACATGTAAATGTTGCAGCACATTAGTTATACCAGTGGAGCTGCTGTGTCTGTGTGGCTTCACACCATGAACCCGGGTTCAGGTTCATGATATTTAAGACGCCACAATACAGAATTACTTTTTTTTTCCATCCACACATTGTTAAATGCACATTTAATGCACATTGCAAGAAAGAGCGTCAGTGTATTTAACAGAATAGATGTTCTTTTTTTTTTTTTCTTTTTCAAGAAGACTGTCTCTTATCGTCTACATCTTTCGTTAGCACTATACCTGCAGCCGGAAACTCTGGGCTCTCGTTCAAATGAATGGCTGCTACTGACAAACTTGACAGAGAGAAGGGAAGTGGCGCAGTCAGACTGCACACACCTTGATGGATACCTGAGATACCTGACCCGAGGCAGAGCGGGAGGTCAAGGTGACACAGGTAGACCCCCACCTGCACAACAGAGCAGAATAAAGACTGTGCTGGATTGGATTTGAACAAAACTCCAGAAAAAAATCAAATAAAAACGATGCTGCATGTAATCCGTGGATTAAAGCCGGATTATTCTCACGGTGACAGGGACTCCCCCTCTCTCTTGTGGTCCCTCGTGGTGATGTATGGGCAACTTTTGTAGGAAACGGAGAACAGCAATGTCGCCTGCAGCAGCGAGGGAGTGTCAGTGTCACAAAATCAATATGGGAGCGGCACAGGAGCAGAGAGAAGTGACACTGAAAATATAAAAAACATTCTTTTGTGGATTAAGCTTCAGAATCCACCACTCTCAGACGTTATATATTAATCACACGAACCAGTTCAAGGCTAAATACACGAAAGCTGCTGGTTTTAACTGGACAGCATGCGTGTGTTGGTGTTCATGATTTATTTATTGAAAAAGAAAGAAAGAAAAGGAGAAAGAAGGACTCTCGGGTGTTTTAATGGAGTTAAAAAGCTGCAGTGCATTTACCAAAGTGAAGGGACGTGGATTCATTTCGTTATTGCTCCATTCTTCAGTGCCATCAGTCAGAAGTGTTTGCGATGGGACAGTGTGTGTGTGTCCGTGCCAAGTCATCTGTCTTTTCTTTCATGCCCACCCTGCAAGAACAGCCAGAGACTGGGGCTTTTTTTTTTTTTTTTTGAAATAATTACATGTTGCTTTAATCAAACCGTGGATGGGGAAATGTACGAATGTTTTGAATTTAAAAAAAGGCCTGAAGTTTAAAACAATCCCAGGCGAAAACACTTTACACAATGGAAAAAATGACACTGTTTGATACCATATATATCTGTCTTTTTATTCCCATTGTCCCAAATTATTTCTCTGTATTTAATCCAGGATACGAAAAATAATTGAAAGGGCCTGCAGTGCAGCTTGGGGCCCATTTGCACCTGGCTATCTTTATTGAATTTTATTTTCTATTTCTAAGCTTTTGAATAATTTTTCTCCGACTCACACGGGGATTGACCTGTAAATTCATTTCTCAGTTTTCCTTCAACGTTGAGCAGACACTAAAAACGGATACAAATATTCCGCTGTGGCCACGACAGGGACTTTATGAAATCAATTCAGGTACATATGGACGCGCTCAGCTTGTGCCTCCAGAGAGCCTCTGTCTTCTATATCTACCCTGTAGATCCGGATTTGTGTACAAATCATTAAAACAATCACAAATTCGCTTCTAGGGGAGTATATAGTGGATTTATACCCGGCGGCGGCGATGGATCAGGACGCAAGGAGCGGAGGGAGCCGAGGGAGGCCTGCAGCTCTTGTTACTGCGCTGTGATGTATTTAAAACCTGCGCCATTTGGATTCGTTAGTAGAGCAGTAAAAGCGCAAAATAAGAATGAAGAAAACGTGTCTCATCGTCTAATGTGTATTTATTTTTCCGAACACAGCAAACACAGAAAACACAGACTTATTCCACTGGATTTATTTCAGGAATGCATTATATATATTTTCGATTTTTAATGTCGGCTCTTGTCCTGAGTGCCTTCGTTTAACCTCATACTTTTAAAAGCCAACTCCAGGTTGAACTGGATGGAGCTTTTTTTCTTTTAATTTAATTGTATTTTTTTTTTATTGGGAGTCCTGTTGAAAAATGATGCGGTCGGCCTGCTGAAAACGACGAGGGGGTGGTGGTTTTGGGGGGAGGAGGTGGGGTCGATTTAGAGACGGTCAATTTTCTCGAAACAAAGGACTTGGATATCTCTATCATCTTGCCTGTGCGCCCTATGGTCCTACAATGATAAGACTGCAGAACGCGCACAGAAGCCACCTTCTGATTGGGAAAACATTCCTTCTGTTCCATTCACCGCAGTGTTGCGTGTGTTTACAGTGATATACACACACGTTTTTGTCCTTGAGTTTTCTCTCGGTGCCGTTGGAAGCAGATTTATTGGTATAAAATAAAATTTTATCATAAAACTCGTTGGCTGGGAATTAATATTATGATGTGCGCTGCGTCTTTACGCCCCTGGTGCTTCTTGTGTCTTTCACAACAATAGGAAAGTGACGAGCAGACAGGGAGAGTGTGTCAGGTGTGTTAGGACTTGAAATGTGGAGGTGTTGGGGACATGATTTTCCTCTAGGAGGGAAAAAAAACAAAGAGTGGTGTATGTGTTCAGTAATGCACAGCTCAAGGGCAAAATGCGCACAGAGACGGCGCACAGGGACTTGCATGCTGGTGTTGTTAATATCGAAATCTGGAGGTGGAGGGGGGTTATAACTGTATTCATGCAAGGCTAAAGGGCTGAGGCTGGATTACTATGCACGAGGAGTTAAATGCAGATTTGGCGCCTGTTGGAGCGACGCGGGTTTAAAACAAAAGTGGGAAAACGGTCCTGGACTCTCATTCTTAATGCAAAGGTCTGCTCGTGATTTAGGAGGCCGTGTAACCTGAATTAGTTGATGAATTTTCTATCGATCCTAAACAAGCCAGATTTATCTCTGACACGGTGCTGCTGCTGCTGGGTGGCGCCCGAGTCAGGCCACTCTCCCACTCCTCGTTATTAGCGATTTAAAAAAGGAGCAGGAGAAAAGCGAGAGAAGGAGAGAAAAAAAAAAACAATTTGGCAATCACGTCCCGACACACACCCAATATATACAGAGGAGGTTGTGCAGGCGCCGCTGCCCCCCCTCCGGCGCGTTCTCTCTGCTGTTTCGTTTCTATTTTTTTTTATGTGTTGTATTTGAAGTTGCAGCCAGGAGCCTGGTAGGAGGGAGAGGGAGGACTCTGCTCTGCAGCCGACTCTGTTGCTCCTGCAGCCTGCATGCGTCCGTGCGTGGCCTCGACTGGAGAAGCTTTTTTTTTTTTCTCTCCTCTCCAGTCATTTGTTATTGTTGTGATTCTCTGGCTGCTCTGGACGGCATGCGTGTCCGACATGTGGCGCAGAAATAGGCTGTAAATGGAGAACGGTGAATATAGAGAGAGACGTAGGGAAAGGAGGAGGGGTGGGGGGTTATTGTAAGACTGAATACCAACAAACTGAGGCCATATGATAATGCGCGTGCGGGGGCTCTGTGTATGCTTAATCCCATTTCCTTATCCGGGGTTTGTCCTGGGGGCTCGCCATTGGCCGGCCGCCGTCACGTGGCTTCTTAACTTTGTTCACTTGACAGAAAAGTAGGAGGGTTCAACGGAACAGGAATAACCGAAGAGTAAAGGGATGAGATATAAATTTTAGTTATATATTTTCCGAGTAGGTGCAATTCCACAAAAAGACTGAAATTAATGGCCATGAGCTCCTATTTGATCAACTCCAACTATGTGGACCCGAAGTTCCCACCGTGCGAGGAATACTCACAGAGCGACTATCTGCCCAGCCACTCTCCGGACTATTACAGCTCTCAGAGGCAGGAGCCTGCCGCTTTCCAGCCGGACTCCCTCTACCACCACCATCAGCACCCCGCACACCCCCCGAATCACAACCCGCACCGAGGCGAGCCGCCCTACACGCCGTGCCAGCGCGCGGGGCAGCCCGCCTCGGTGGTGATGTCCCCCCGGGGTCACGTCGTCCCCCCGGCCGGGCTGCAGACCACCCCCGTCCCGGAGCAGAGTCACCGCTGCGATTCGGTGACACCCAGCCCGCCTCCGTCTTGCGGTCAAACTCCCCACAGCCAAAGCGCTTCTTCCCCCGCGAGCAATCGCAAGGACCCCGTCGTCTACCCATGGATGAAGAAAGTCCACGTAAACATCGGTAAGTGCTGCATGCAAACTTCTTCCTCTCTCTCCCCTCTCTCTCTCTCTCTCTCCCTCGTTGCGCCTTTGTGCCTGCGGTTGAAACCCATGCAGTCAGCTAGGTGTCCACCGTCAAAATCTATGGCTTCCCCTCCCTGTTTTCTGTTAGAAGTAGAAGAGTAGCCCTTGGGTCAAGATTTACGATCGTCTGTTTGCAGGGCCAATATAATTACACCCTCCATAAATTTTTATTACACCTCTGCGCTGAGGTGCCTTTTGAAGTCCGATCTCAGGCTCGTCTGCTCTAATACCTCGCCTTATGACAACTCAGAGCGAGCCCATAAGTTAGATTTTATGCTTTGGTAATTTGATTTTAAGTGGTCGGGTTGTATAAACGGTGTACTTTACTCTGTCGAGCCTTCCTTCCCCACTCGTTGTTCCAGGGGAGGGAAAGTTTTATGGCAGCTGAAATATTCATGTTTATGGAGCCGGCCGTAAAACACCGATGTAACACCGAATAGCTCCAGTCTCTTATGGCTTCTCTGTAATGTTCCAATAGACTCGCTGGCTTTTGTGCACTGGGATAATCGCAGCTCTGTTTCGCGCGACGACAAAATGCCTCTTTTGCAAAGTCACCGTAATGCGTTCACTCCACCTGTTTACTCGGTAAGAAAACTATTTTATGCATTATGTGTTTTTCTCTTTATATACTCTATAGCTGCCATTTTTGACACACTGCTGCAGCATGTCGGGTTAGTACTGCCCTGTTGTAGTTTCGGGATATGTGTTGAATCATCAACGCCGAATGCCCCTGTGTGTATATGCTGCTGCACCCCCTCCACACCCCCACCATCTTGATTCTCAAGCAGTTTACGCAAGACAGACAATGCTACCATCACTGTCCGTGGCATCCGTGCGTAAAACTGAAAATAAAAAAAAAGGAAACGCGCTCGACTCGTCGCTTCTGCTGCTTGCTGTCATGCGTTTCAATTATCCTTTGTAGTGCGTGCGCAGACGTGTCGGAACACGTTTTATTTTGTTGTTTCGTGGGTTTTTTTGCACGCAGCCGTGGCCTCGATTGGCTCTTAAATCACATTTGTAGCCCGGGGTCAGGCTGGCTGTGCTCGGAGGATTCTCACCATCTGACCATGAAAATAGCATGGCTTCGACAGCAGACCGTGGTGTTCAGCTGTAACAGATGCAGCTAAAAGCAAATGAACAATAAAGGCTCTGTGGAGAAAACAATCACTGCAGGGTCCTGCAAAGGTTACAGTCAGCAGAGGTCCAGTCACGGCGGCCATGCCTTTATTTCTCGTCGTTGCATGTTCATACTGCAAAAATATTTTCTCTGCCTTTGTTTTCATGTGCTGTTTTCAGTATGTTCATGTTCACATACGTCTGACTAGTGAGCGCAGCCTTCATATGCAGCCATTCTAATTAAAATATAACAATATGATATGGACCTGTAATGTATTTACAGCATATTGTTATTTTTGAGATGGTTGTGTATTTCTTTTTAAGTCGTTGATGAAGTGATGACCATTTCCCTTATTTATTCCCACAGTGAATCCAAACTACACAGGGGGGGAGCCGAAGCGGTCTCGGACGGCCTACACCCGCCAGCAGGTCCTGGAGCTCGAGAAGGAGTTTCACTACAACCGGTACCTGACGCGCAGGCGCAGGGTGGAGATCGCGCACACGCTATGCCTGTCAGAGCGGCAGATCAAGATCTGGTTCCAGAACCGGAGGATGAAGTGGAAGAAGGACCACAAGCTGCCCAACACTAAGGTCCGCTCCGGGACAAACAGCGGCAGCAACACAAACTCCCAGGCCCTAACCGGTTCCCAGAACCGCTCCGCCGGACCTCTATAGCCCGGCACTTTTGCTCTTTGTCTCACGTGTGTCGTCCGTTTTCCTATACCCGATTCCCAAACTGAACGTCAAACCGGCAGCCACGCTTGTAACCTCCGGAACCTGCACTTTGGACCGGATTAACGCTTTTACTCTGGGAGGGAAGGATGGATGTCGCTGCCGCATGTATGGCCCTGTGCTGATGTTACACACTGTTATGACTTGGGAGGATGGAGAGGGAGATTTCCCACTCATGAAAAAAAGATATGAACAAAATGAACGAGGTGTCGAGGAAGGAGAGTGACAGAAATGAAAAAAAGATGCGATCGCTTCTTTGCTTTCATCCCCGCCATTCTTCCCTCTCTGCGTCTCTTTCTCTGCTTTTTATATCTCTGTCTTTTTCTACCCCCCCTCTCTCCTGTCTGTGAGAGAGCATAAGACAGTAGGCTGCCTATAACGTGCTCCAGTGTGTGTGTGTGCGTGCGTGCGTGCGTGCGTGCGTGTGGTTCCTGTCCTTTTTTTTCTATCCGAGACATTTTTTTTGGTGAAGATGGATCCTCGTTTTCATCTTTAATCATGCCAAACTCGGGCCCCATTTGTCATGTTTACTCTGCGGGTACAAAGCAAAGGGGTGAACCGCGGCTCTGCCCATTACCCCTCGCGCCTACACCCCCCACCCTCATCCCACCCCTATACGTACCCCACCTCCATCACACACACACGCACACACACACAAACACACACGCACACACACACCCTCCCACCCCACTCAAGCACTCAAACACGCACGTGTAATAAATTGAACTCTCGTTTCGTATTAAGTATTCTTACACACACACACACACACACACACACGCACACACACACACACACACACACACACACACACACACACACAAATAATAATAATAATAATTGTTTTGCTTCTGTTTCTGCTTTTGTGTTTGCGGTTCATGACAAACTAGCCTTAGAGCTTTTACAAATTGGACTGATAGTCTTTTTGAATTGAGTGTTGGTTGTTAAATGTTGCACGCGGTCGTCGCTCAGGATGACGTGCGTGTAGTTGTGTGGTCCGTTGATTGTTCACGTTGTGTTCATGTTGTGTACAGGGAAACAGACTGACAGGGTGAGTCCATGAAGCCTAAACAAAGGACACTGACGTTGAAACCAAATTCCTGGTACAAATAGCCCAAGATCACACTATAAACGCAGCACTATACAATGTACTACCTATTACCTCAGCTGTACTTATATATATATATATATTATTATTATTATTATTTTGTATTCTTATTTTCTCTTACTCGTTGAATGAAGTGACCGCTTTTCGAGCTTTTATATTTTTTAAATTGTGTGACGAGTTATTATAATAATTATTATCACTACCTGCAATACAGAAAAGGCGCTATTCATTTCTTCTATGTGAAAAGTTATTTAATTCTAAGTGAAACGGTTCAAGCCAGAGACATTCAGAAAAGCGAGGAGCTTTTTATTGCATGTCCGAATGATGTTGATTCTTTTTCTCGTTGTCTCATCTTTATTGTGTCCGCACATGAAATGCGCGCACACCTCTCCTCTTCCTCCTCTCCGCTCCTTCCTCCTTGTACCACTTTTCTTCTGTAATTGTATTTTTCAGTTGATGTTATTTTTTTACATTCCAAAGATCAGCTTCTTCCTCATTGATGATGATGATGATATGTATGATACCGGTAACTCATAATGAATGTGTTACTTTCTCAGAAATGTAAGTTGCTCCTTCCTCTGCTTAAGCCCACTCAGTGTCTACCTTCTTATTTGTAAATAGTCCATTGAAATTTAAATAAATGGCTGAAAAGTGTTATTTTCTGTCCTGTTTTATCACCTATTCTCTCAATAGTATGATTCTTTCACTTAAACGTCTTCAAATGTTTTGTTGTTTCTAAAATGTTGTAATAGATTAACATCCATTTTGCTTTATAACTACAGCATCTTCCTCCTCTCGTGCAGATGGAACACAGTGTGTTTGTGTGTGTGTGTGTGTGTGTGTGCGTGCGAGCGTGCGTGCGCGTGTGTGAAATATCCACACACACACTCCTCCACCTGCTCACACACATTAAATAATTCCATTTAATTTCAGTGTTGGTTTAAGCCAACAAACGCACAGAGACCTGACGTGAAAAAAATTTAGGAGCCAGCGATGATTAATCAGTCCCGGCCCTGACTGATCCTGGTACATTACGTCCTGTAATCTCGTTTTAAATCACAGAGCCGTCTCTCCGTTTCACTCCCGTTCTCCCGTTAATTTAACGGCTGCTCGGGCTGGCGTGCACCGGCCCGACAAAGAGTGTAGGACCCCCACCCCCCTCCTCCTCCTTTCCTCTTCTGGTTCTGGAAAAAAAAACACAATTAAATAGCATCTCGGTTCGTGGTCTTTTAACGCTTTAATGAGTGTGATTTTTGCCCACGTTTTTTTTCTTATCGTTGTTTTGTGGAACGCTGCCGTGCGCGCATGTGTGTTTTATTTTTTTTATATATTACAAAAAGGGAGCAGGCCGGCGCCATAGCTCAAACCCTGACAACCAAATAGATAATCAACAAGACGAATGGCTTCTTTTGTAAGGCGCGGCTCCCGTATTAATTTTCATTTTCTTTTCTTAGAGCAGGTATCGAAAAAATATAGAGCAAGAGGTGGGGGGAGCGAGAAAATAGCATTCCTCTCGATGAACTTTAAACAAAAAAAAACGTGCCCCCCAAATTGGTCCGTTCGTATTTCTCGGCCCAGAGAAGATTCCCTATTACTTGTTGGTTGATTTCTCCCTGGGCTTCTTGCCACAGAGACTCCCCCTGCCCATTTATCTGTTTTCTTCCTATTTATGAAAGAAGGCTCCTGCAGCAGAAAACCGCCCTCACATCAAACTGTATGTGCGCGCGCGCACTCACACACACACACACACACACACACACACACACACACACACACACACACACACACATATATACACTGCACCAAAATGCGTAAACCTTTAGGCTACCTATGATGACAAGGGTCGTAAACCAGCATTTTCACTAAAAAATAATAATAGTAATTGTTGATATTATTATTCCAATTTGAAGTATTTCCAGTGGCTGTAAAGTAGCCACACATATCTTCCTTACAGTGAACACAATAAGATCAAATAGGAGCTTGCACACACCCTCATATACACATACAACCCGCGGGCAGTGCATCTCTCCTCACATAATATTTGGGTCTGATTTCTGTAATTTCCCCTACTCAACAAATGTCCTTTATATTGGTGCTTTAAAACAAAAGCCCCCCTCCTCAAATATCCACACATGCACACTCGCAAATGTGCCTCCACAATAATCATCTAAACCCCTGAGCCGTTTGCAGTCCCAGTTAAAAAAAATAAATGGATTTTTTGTGCGGGGTGACATGGTCGTACAATGAAATCGAACCCAAAGAATTCTAATTCTTTTTTTTTTCCAGCCACCTTTATCAGTCAGGGCCTTCTGCTGCATTTGTGAATGGGAGCAGGCTGTTTTGTAAAAAACCCCCCCCCCCCCACACACACACACGCACTCCTTAAAAAGTTCACAGCCATTATTTTGTGGACAGGGCAGAGGGGACGGCACCTCAAGAAAAATGCGAGAATTATACGAGAAGAAATCATTAATCACTTGTTCTTCTTTTAACACTTCTTCTCCGTCTTCTTCTCCTTCTCCATTGTCACCCGACAGCCACACACAAGAGCCCTTCTGCCAGGAGACGCAGAGGGCAGCGAACAGAAGGACGCACATGGAGGAGAAGAAAAAAATAAGACGTCTTGGAAGACACTCTGGAAGATCCCCCCTTCCTCCCCCTTCCTTATACACATAAACACTCATACACACCTCCCCTTCCCACGCACCAGCAAGCTATTTTTTTACACCCCATAAGTATCCAACCATAAGAAAAGAAAAACTTTTCCCAGCCCTCTTTCATTGGAAAGAAGAAAATCCCTCCAAAGAAACTCCAAGAAATCAGTCGGAGAGCCCACCCGGCGCAAAAGGAAGATGGCCCAGAGGTCGCTCCAAGTGGTGACGTCCAAGGTAAGAGGCCTGGGAATTTCATTTTGCCTTCACTGTTCTGCCTCTGGCGGTTTGGCTCTGCTGCACAGAGGAGCAGCGGAGGCAAACGGCACCGAGCCAGTTTTTATGGTTTTATTGCCCCCTGTGCGCATTTGGCGAGGTCAGGCGAAGGGGGCATTTATGGCCGCGGGGGCTTTCATTCTGGAGCTGCGTGTTTGTGTTGTAAGGTGTGTGAGAGTGGAGTGTATATACAGCTACAGATGACTGGCTTTTGTTGGGCTGTTTTCTGTTTTCTCCCAAGTTTGTGCAACTGTTTTTCCGCCACCCTTTGCCGCGGTGGTGTCACCTCTGTGTCTGTCACTCATGAGGCCTGTCACTTCTCGAGCATCTGCTTTTGTGCGTAAAATGTGCCCATGTGCATCTTTTACGCGCAGGTTTTATAAATTCAGCTTGAATGAATATTTTTTGTGATTTTTTTTTCATATTCAGTTGAAGGTGTATTTTTTATTTATATTGCGCATATGAGAGAGTTGGACTACCAAGCTAATACAGTCGCATAAACAGGCTTCAGGAAAATTCATAAATGCTCCAGCTAATATATGGCAGAGTGGCCCACGTGAATAATTCCTTGTTCACCCAGAGCTTATTATGCATTTTGTCTTGGCTGTGTTTCTGTGGTCATAAAGTGTTGCTGTGGTTTAGGCCTATAGCTTTTAATGAGCTACTGCTCCATATATGTGTGTGTATGTGGGTGCGTTTTGTTGGCCAGGTGCAAATAAGCCACAGACACCGAGGTGGGGATATGAATAATATGGCGCTCAATGGAAAGGGGGGTTGAAAAAGAAAAATTAAAAGAACTGGGGGAGCTCTGGTTAATGGATACTCTCCCGGTTGTGCTCCAAAACAATTTACCATGTGAACAAACGATCTGCAAGGCTTTTCCAAATGAACTGCGAACGATCGCAGGTCGCCATGTGCGCTCAGGCCTCCTGTATCTGCTGAGCCGAGCAGCAGCGGCCTCAGGAAGCGCACTCACTCCTGCTTGACCTCTTCAGAAATCAATTTGCCCTGAATTAAAAAACAGAAAGGTGGAGGGGCTCCGGCCACTCGTGAGGATGAGGCAGGTCAGGGCGTGATGCGATGCGTGGAGAAGGAAGAGAAACAAATGGCCGGAATATAAGCGGCACGTATCCAAGGGAAGGAGGAGAGGGAAGAGGTGGAGGAGGAGAGGGGGGTAGAAATCGATGGTCATGCAGGATCAGCGGAATGGCCAAGCTGCGGCCGCGGAGGGTTCAAACAGGGGACAGGTTTTTCTGACCGATGAGGTCCACTGGCTCTGAAGCCAGAGGCTGACCTCCACGCCACACCAGTCCTACCCCCACTCCTGGTTGAGACAAATGACCTATGTGGTCGTTCAAGTTGGAGGACTTGTTGGAGAAACTGCAAGTTTGGTTAGCCAGCACCCCCCTGCAGAATGAGGAACTGTGTATTTTTGAATAGTTAACGATGGAACCCAAACAACTGTGAGACCACTTTTGGATCTACTCTTTCCATTAGTTAAGCAGTTTCATGTAGTTATGGAGGTCTAGTTTATTTAATCTTTATCTATTGTATAATTTGTGTTGGACACATTCTCAGACAGATATGTGGTTAAAGCGGTTTTGTGGTGTTTTGAAGAGTATAGTGGTAAATGTTTTCACTTCCTCCTGTTGTTTCTATCTTGTATACAACTGAGGACCAACATGAGCTTATACACACAAGCCACTGGCTTGTTCTTCAGACAGCTTTGCATAAACATGTCTTCTCTTTGCTGTAAAATCTTGTGCATAATCTTGTGCCACAGGATGCAACGCAGCAGTAATAAAGGAGGGGTAAACCAACGCTCTAGCTTTAGTCCTATAACTAATTTATACACAAATCCAATGCAGTGGTTTGTAAAGTTTCTCCGCCTGAAACCTTGAATGGGGTAAACCTAATTTCTGCCTTCATGCAGGTTCATTAAAAACATGCTTGTTAAATTAAAACCCCTGCTGCTCTGCTGCTGCATAACAGCCCACTGAGCTGTTAGTTAGTGAAAGCACACAGTGATCTCCAGTCTGCCTCTGCCCCTGTATGTCCTTACGAGCTGTAATTTTTTTTATTTTCTGCAGCTTTATGACTCGTCCTGATGCCTCTCTCCATCCGAAAGTAGAATTTGTGTGCAGTCTCAGTGGGATTAGCAGTTGAATAAGTGTGACGTGAAAGTGTGGAGCAGTAGGAGTCTGTCCAGCAGGCAGGCAGATGTGAGGCAGCTCTCACTCCGGCCTGGAGTTTACAGATAAGATGCTCTCTGCTTTACAGTTTGCTGTCAGTGTGGTGACGGTGGATTTATACACGGATTTCAGGGATCTCACACACGCAGACACACACACACACACACACACACACACACACACACACACACACACACACAGGTGTTGGGATTGCACATAAACATGCACTATAATGTTCACATAAGTCTCACATAACAGACAGTTACCCAGAAAAGTTACACCAACTCACCCCCCCTCCCTATCTCTCTCTCTCTCTGTGTCTCTTTCTCTTCCTCTCTCTGACCTGGGAGTCTTGCGGTGGTTTGCTAATTGCCAGACAAATCGCCCGCGTGTTTTTTTTTCCCTCTCTCGCTTTTTTTTCTTCCTCTCCTCGCGCTTGTTGCAGCCGCTTTGGCCGAGAAATTTATTATTTTGGAGAGCGCGAGGAGCCGAGGAGGTCACAGTGCAGGCGCGCGGGCTGCAGGAGGAGGTCGTC